GTTAATTTCTTATCGGGTGACGAAAACTACACTTTGGTCTCCCGTTATTCAAGTTTGGTGTCTTTCGCCTTGAGGGCGCCTACGGGAGTTATCACTATCACGTTCTATACACGAGGGGAGCCTCTCCAGTTTCTTCAACCTTCGGTCAATCAACTGTTTGCTGTGGTGCCTGTCTATATCAAGTGCTATAGCGCAATCATAGCTCCACTGTGCGACCACCAACAACTGATTGCGGAGGAACTGGCCCGATTAAGGGGAAGACAGTTAGCAAGAAGGCAAGGCAATCTTGTGGGAGCGCCTGGGCTGCATAGATGACTCTGATCCTGTTAACAATGAGGCTATTAAAATATTACATATGCGAGAGGAGTATCCCAGTCGAAACCATCCTCGTCGGTCCATAAAGTCTCGATTTGCCTAGTCATAGTGTCTGTGGTATGACATTACTTTAACTCACGCACAAGCGCTGTTGTAAAATGAGTGAGCGAGTGAGCGAGTGAGACTGAAAATACTAACAACAAGTCCTTCGGACACCAATGGTTATTCGGCAGCTTTTTCTGGGACTTGATTCAGTTTGTTAATCTCCGTCCACTTTTGTAATTTCAGATAAATTTCCTGGTGGTTCTGTCGTCATTATTTTCTTCAGGGCATATATGCTCGGATGAGCTTGACGGCCTCAAAAACCTCAGGACGATCTGACATGCTCATACTGCCCGGAAAAGGCCTTGGACAGCGATGATCTAAAAGTTGTTGGGACCTTCCAACGATGTCTTCCCAGCATTGAAGAGCTTGAGACTGAGATTCAAAGGCCTTGGAGTATGTCGGTCGTCGATTGTTTATGAAGAGATCGTCTTGGGTGACCGACGACTCGTGCTTTTCCAAAACGCATCGGTACTGCCATTTCCCAGGCTCGGAACTGGGGTCCCTACCGATTGTCGACAGGCAAGGTAAACCTCGAAAATGTCTGATAAAGGCGTCGTCATCCGCTTCGCACAGGTAAAATGCCACCACAGATGTTGCTTCGCCCGAGTTGACGCTACCAGGAAGATGAACTGTCAGTACAGACTCCGGATTACACCGACCCTGGACTTACTGATCAATTCCTGAGCCACAAAATAAAACCTCCAGCTTCTGGATACAGTCTTGAAGTGATGTCGCAGTAAGCTTCTTATCGGTGAGAGGTTTGCTAAATAGACATGAAGTGCCCAGAATCTCCGCCAGCTGTTTCAAGTCCCGGTTATGTTTGATCCACGGTTTTAAACCAGTTAAATCGCCAGAAGGAATTACAGCAGAGCCGCGAAGAACTAACCATACGTTCATGTCCTCAGTGAAGCCTGCACACACGAATTGCCGTAGTGGTCTAGGGAATGACTTATCAGGCCAATCGCGGAGCTGGCTCATCTGTTCAAGATTGTGCCTGAGCTGACTGCGAAGTTGATAGGCTTGTGTCTTTTGAGCTTTCGCATCCTTCGGGAAGGCATCAGGGAAGGCGGACACAAACTCTGAGGTGAGTCCTTCCCAGCTGATACTGTCCAATTCTGCACCTTGGAAAGTCTTATACTCTTCTGTGCCCACCCTCGGAAGCCACTCCTCCTTGCATCTTTGGACCAAATCTTCCAGTGCATGTTTATTACCAGATTCAGAGTTAGAGGAAGCCGAGAGCGGAAATTGAGATCTAAGGATGAGGAGACACTGCATCATTTTGAGCTGGCCGTCACCTTGTTTCCCACTAACAGTTGACTTGCCCATGGTTTTCGAAAGGGAGCGACAAAAGGGTGGTCAAAAGATGGTTGTTGTGTCTGAAGCAGGTTCCGTTTCTTCGGTTGGAAATAGTTGGTCCGATAGAGGAGGTTTCGATTCTAGAGAGGTTTCGAGGCTGGAAGGAATCTGAGACAGGATGATTTACCACTGTCCACCGGGTGACTAGGAGCGAAGGGGCTCGAGGAGTAACTATTTTGCAGTTAATGTTATGATTCAAGGCCCATAGCCTGGAAATTGGGGAATAAGTAGAGATTGTTCCGCCGCGGTAAGGGGGCTTTACTCGCTAAGAGCTGCCTACAGGGCCTAGGACAGTTCAAGTGGCATCAGTGCTCTTTGGTGTCTAAACAATATGGACTCGGGGTCCAAGTGGCCATCACGGCCCTATATCCTAGGTAGAGCCGCTAGGCTCCTGGAGTAAATCTCAGAGAGATATTTCTGTTACTTATTTAGGTATCTCGGAGCCTGCGAGCTGTTCCCCATGAACAACTAGAGAATGTAGTAAGACGCTCCAGTAGAATGGATGTATGATACCCATCTTCATCCAATAGAATGTTCATTTCCTTTGTTCAGTATGGAACTTCAGACTCTATACCTACGAAGGAGACCTTGATGAAGTTGGCCCATTCCTCCGCTTAGTACCAATGATTCATCCTTCAGCTCCTTCCAGTCCACTTTCTTTGATACCATGCTACCACGATCGCTAATCTCGCACTCCCATTGATCGTCACCACGCGTATTCCATTTACAGAGGTAGCCAGATACCTTAGAGTCGGTAGGAGTTGGCACCAAGTCAATCCTCTCCCCAATACACGACACTGGGAAGAGCTCAAAGTATCGTCTCTTGTCGCCTCCGATTCGAGCTAAAATGGCGCAGTGAAGTAGCCTCGCTCGCAAGGCATCGAACATTAACTTTCTGTGCGTTCTGGAAAGCTTTGATTGTTGACTGTTTAAGTGATACACTGCGAGGACTGCCTCCTCGAGGGGAACCGCTGACCCAATAGTGATCTGGCTATCCAGGTTAAGAATTGTGTTGACCTCATCGAGCCATCTACAATGGCGAATCTCAATCATCGGTTGTTTCCAGTCGTTCTCGGAGAAGGTGAGGCTCAATGGTCCTTCCGCGGAAGTTCCAAAGGATGGTAAAGGAATATGAAGTCCCTGGAGTAACTCTTGGATGGTCTCCGATTTTGTTGCATCTTCTACAGGGTTCGTATCCATTTCGACACACCGGTCAATGTATCCTTCATCTTCCCATTGGTTTCGAGGCTGACTATGGGCGACTTCGTCTGGGGAATAGCCATCGGCGTTGAAAAGGAACTTCTCATTCGGGTCAAGATGCTTATCGGCACCGACAGATTGAGTGACAGCAGTACTTCTTGGACTCGATGTTTGCACACCCTCCAGGGTTGCAGCGATTTCAGGAGGCCAGAACTGAGCCTTGCGTCCAAGATCGTTGTCCTTGTTCTCGACTACCGCTCCTTTAGACAGTAAGCGCAAGGAGGATTGCAACTCAAATATTAGATCTCTAGCCGCTTCTGATTGCGCAGAACCTTGGTTCAATATCTCCTGAATTTGCTGCACTTCTGCGAGATTGTTCTGCAACTCCTGCATATAGTTGTTGAGCGGTGATAAATCGCGACAGGCATTAAGTAGGACAGTAGTTGTGTTGACATAGATGTTGCAGAGTTTGTGGTCATTAGAGTGCGCCTTTACGAGCCTTGGCCTTCGTGGTTGAGGCAAACGTAGTTTGCGTTGAAACAAGAAACATAACCTCGCCTCGACATAGACAAGTACCCACAGGATCTGGACAAAGAAATCTGATTTTTTGTAGTCTTTGCTCCTTAGCCAAATACCATTGACCTGCTTGTTAAGTGTATACACACCTTTCTTTATCCTG